TGTTACATTCAAACAAACATATTCTATTTAAACCACACGATGGTATAATGAATGTCAAACATAGTAATAGAAAATTTCCTGAAGAACATATATTTCAGTATAAATTGTAAGTTCACCTTAGGTTTATTTTTAGGTTAACTGTTATATGGCTATTTATTGTGCTTACAAGTCATTCGGTCACTGACATGATATGTATAGGAACATAACTTGCTATGAAATACAGTTAACAGCCTTAAATTTATAGTTTACAGGGAATATCCAAATGCAGTCCTGTTTGAATAACTTATGTTTATGGTTATAGATAATTCTTTACAAGAAATTACTTGATTTATCTTTCTTTTTGGTTGTAATGACTCACAACAAAGTGTTCATCAAACAGGTGGCAATTCACTATAATACTTTCCAATTATAGGTAAACCTTTTTACCTAAACAGGGTATTTTGGTTGAGTTATATAACATTCCATGAAAACACCTAAAACAAGATAAATTAATGTTTTCTAGGAAATGGATTACTACAGCCTTCACCAAGGTAGTATTATTCTCACTCCCTCTCTTTAACCCTTATTAATTGCACCAATTAACAGCAAGTCTTGAGAGGTTTTAACGCACCCTAATGTAAGAGTGCTCATTTTAACTCTTTATTTTCAACCTTTTCTCATTTCGCCCTAATTATATTTGAGACGGTTAAACAGCAGTATAACATTGATTAATTATTATTTTTAAAACATTCAATCCCACATTCAACTGTAGTTTGATTTTAATTATAAAAATGTTTTTCTGTGTTGCGAGTGTCTTGAATTATTTCGTTGCGATTGAGTTAATATTTTTCAGTGGAATATTCAAGTTTTATTTATTATAATGGATTTTCTGTGCTTAAATTCTTTATGTCTTTCAGAATTCTCCTTTCAGAAATAGTACAAAGAAATGTACAAGTTTTCTATATTCTTTGAAAACGTCTTTACTTTTCTTTTTTCGAGTTAACAAATGTTTTTAAATATTGTAAAAAAACATTCCGGAGAGTTTCTTTAATTTAAATTGATGGAAACATTTTAAAATTAACTTTAGTTAGAGGTAACCCTTGTCAATCGCAACGGTAACACGCGAGGAAATTTACTACAACTGTCAAATGTTGTCTATAAAAAGTCAAACTTACAATATTGTTCAAACTGTTTACGTTTGAAAATGGTCCAAGTTAGTGTGTTTTGGTTGGACGACGTTGATTTAACAGGAGAAGTCAGCAAACCTTTGTATTTCTGCAGCCTGCTTGTTAGGTATTTCTTTGCGGTAAGACACCCTTTACCTTACAACCTTTTCGTGGTAAGGTTCATACACATAAATGCACCCACACTTCAGATTTCCCATCAAGAAGATCAGCCTTCCTACGCTTAATACTAGGTTTTCCGTTTTAACATAGCACCCATTAGTTTTTAAACATACTTTCTATTTTTATCAAATCCTCTTTTGCTTAGTACTGAATAAGTACAGCCCAAAATATGCCTTCTTTGCAAATACAGTATGCAACAATGTTTTGACGTTTACGAAAATTCCTGTCTGACGAGATAATAGAGTATATAGAGGATTTTTTATTACAAATTAATTACATATGGATTTTTAAAGGTAGAAGCGGTTAAGTTAAGGTGTTACGTTTTGATTTAACTTAAAAATTCGAAAAGTATAAACACATGATAGCATTGCAGCCAAAGAAGTTCTTTGTCACAGAAGTCCACCAATACCTTAACTGCTTCTAGCTAAAAAAATCGAACTTTACATACGACTGAGAACGTGTTAATTGTTGTTATCTACTCAAATATTTGATATAGAGTTTAAGTGAAATTGCCCCTCAATGACCGATTCGAGGAAAGTATTTCATTATTAGGATAGATAATATGTATAATGAATTTTTAAATGCGGCAATATTTATATAGCTATTATTGTTCTTATTATGAAAACAGGGTACATTACTTATATTTTTAATTAACACTAAAAACATGACTTATAGATCAATTTAAATACAAATATTAATTCCGTTCAATATTATACGTTCTCAATATTATATTCAATATTATATAGGATGTGTTTACGTCATTATTCAATTATGCTTACTTGTGTCCTCACACTTCATATGTCACTTTGTCGATGGTTATATTTTACTAGTTGTCACATGGAGTGTTACAGTTCGTTTTTCTTTAGCATGTTCACACAATGGTTACACAGTGTGATTTTATTTTCTCGGTGACCTCATAAGCATGTTGAAGCTCGTAAGTTTAATGTATTGATCCAGCTACGTTAGATTCGTTCGTAGTAATTAAGTCCACTCTATTCTTGTAACTAACTATGCTAAGACACAAAGTTCATTGTTAAAAATTATCTTCAATAGACTAAACACAAGGACATATTTCTTAAGTATATGGTAAAAGCAATGGCAACCACATTTTCAACCAGTTTCGTGAAGAGTGTGGAGTATTGAAAATTACATGTTACACTAATTATATATTGAGTTGTGTAAGAATAATTTTCAACTTGATATGGTGCTATGTACAAAATTAGTTCTGAGGACCTCAATTCAACAATAGTTTCACCCCACGAGAAATGGCTTTGTTTAAATATCTTTGATGTTCGCTGTTTCTAGTTTGCAACAGTCCTGGTCTTGAAGTGACCATTGACCAAACTGTCTGTAAAGTTAAGTTTAATTTGTGCATTTTAGCCGCAGGTATCAAAGGGTTTATTCATGTTTTTTGTTCAGTAGTTAATTGCTTTCTATAAATAATTATGGTTACTAATACAAGTATATTTTGTATTGCCATTATAAATTGTATTATTGAGTCTCCGTTTGCAATTCTAATTTATTACTATTTTGTAAATTGCATACATTTGTAAGTAGCATAGATATGATTGTGCATTCCACCAATCCTTCTCGAGTCTACACATGTTTTAGAGTATTTTATTATAATTCTACTAAATTATACGGATACAAAATCACATATATAAAATAATATATTTAGTAAAATTTAAGACTTTTTAGTTAACTGTTACCAATAGTAGGCCTATACTAAATGTTTCAAATAAATTAATTACAAATTTAATTTAACTTACTAATTTCATATTTCGTATTTACAAAGTGTTTGAACACTATTTTTGGTATTGTGTTTTTAATGAAAAGGGTATGGTCAATTTAAGCAACGGTATGTACAAAAATAATATAATTTTTTTTAACGACCAGAATAAATTTTACAAGGTAAAGGTGTGCCATAATTATATGGAGGTGTGTACATACCAAGACTGCACAATATCACTCATACCTTTTGAGTCCCGTGTGGTCATATTCAATTTACTTACTGTGGAATACATTTTTTAAGTCTCTGAAGTTTAACGTACAGTAACAAAAATGCCATAAAATGAAGATTGTTTAGCACCAAGAAATATGTCGTTAATACTAATACTTTTAATGGCATATAGGAAGCTAAGGTGAAACCTAAATAAGGTACTGTATGAGAAGATATTAAATGTCAACGATTAGGAAAGTTATTTTGTACACCCAAAAAGCAAATTCTAATGAGACTTGTATATTGAGTATTCAATATACTTTACTAAATATGAATATTAGATATTCTTAGAGCGAAATAAAATCAGCACATTCAAACATATCTGGATATTGTGGTATCGTATTAGGCCCGTTGTAACATTTCCATTCTCCGAGCTACGGTCCCTCAGGGCACTCAATTTGGAAATCTGATATAATGGAAATGAAAATCCTCTCCTAAAATATTCATATTTTCAGTATGCGTTGTGATTTCCTCTTTAAAAAATCCCTACTGCATGAAAGTTTATGTATTTTTATTTTCGTTTAGCACTTTACATTTATTTAAACGACAATAAACGTATATTATTTGAAATTATTTTTCAGAGTCTCATTACGACCTTCACAATATTCGTATTACAAAATACATAAGGTTTTCCCATAGGATTGGTCAATATCTTGGATCCACAGGTTTTAAATTTGTTTAAAAATACTTACTCAAACTTTACTTAGTATTTATCTAGAGACAATAGGCCCTCGGTTTAAAGGAGGTAGTTTCAATTGCAGACCGTCTAATCAGGTACAGGTTTTAAGAATACATTTATATAGTTAACATGCCATTTGCGCATGAATAATGTATGCATGTATGTACCTGTTAAACACATGTAAAAAAACATCTTTCTTGCTTACAAGTTTTGTTAGGGATGAAGTTTTTAAGCTGTTATAATACTGTTATATATCCCCCACAATTAAGAGAATCAGGGGACAAGTTATTACCACTAGTATCAAAGGAAAGTGCTTACCTCTAGTTTGGGTGAGCTACTTGTTTAAAAATCACACAAACAAGACTTGTTTATAAAAATAGAGTCAATTAGTATTGTTAGTTAATGATTTTTGCTATGTATGCTCTTAACCACTTCTTACATTTAAGAAATGTTCTATTCTAAATGTATTATAATCAAAATGGTTGTTATAATGCAGTATACGATGGCCACGGGGGGTTTTATTCTTTTTGAAGTTGTAAACCATGTTGTTACTTGTATTTAGATACAAATCTTTGAAAAGTCAAATAAAAGCTGAAATAGGAAGGTGATCTAAAGGAAAACATTTCCAATATTCTATGTAGGCCTACATATAGGCCTCAAATAAGGAAGTGAACTGTTTTTGGTGACATATCCCTTTCACATACGTTCAAGGTGAAATTTAAAATCTTTACTCGTTCACAGAGGTTAGGTTTAAAAACTAACATCCAATTTAAAAAGTTGTAAGCTTATAATGGTTGATTCACGTAAATTGTGCATGCTGACTACTACTACAGTTTGTTGTAAGTGTATGGTAATGTTACAGTATTGTCAGAAGTAAAAACTGTTACCATGCATATACTAGGGCTGTTTTTTTTTCAAGTTCCGATAGGCCATAAATAATAAACACATTGAGATAAAAAGATGATTTTATTACCAAAAGATTCGTCATTTCTTAAACTTATTTTTCTACATAGTCACCAAAAATGTTGAGGCACTTGTCATAGCGAGAGACAAGTTTTCCTATACCCTCCTCGAAGAAGTCTGCCGCCAGTGAGCTCAGGTAGGCCCTTACAGTGGCTTGAAGCTCTTCGATGTCAGCGAAGCGTCGTCCACCTAACCACGCCTTCAGTTCTCGAAAGAGGTGATAGTCACTGGGCGCTAAGTCAGGACTATACGGCGGATGGTCGAAAACTTCCCATTTGAACTTTTGCAGAAGTTGTTTTGTGACATTGGCATTATGCGGTCGTGCATTATCGTGGATCAGGACCACGCCGGATGACAGCATTCCTCTCCGTTTGTTTTGTATTGCTCTCCGGAGGCGATGTAGAGTCTCACAGTATGATTCCTTTGTTATCGTTGTTCCCTGTTGCATGAACTCAACCAGAAGCACACCTTTTTGGTCCCAAAACACTGTAGCCATTGTTTTCCTCTTGGTCAAAGTCTGCTTGAGTTTTTTGGGTTTGTTAGGAGAGTGAGTGTGCATCCATTGCTTTGATTGTTCCTTGGTTTCTGGATTTTCATACAGGACCCAAGTTTCATCCCCAGTAACAATAGACTTTAAAAAATTGTCTTTCTCGTTGTCATATCGCGTCAGAAAAGTTAGGGCTGACGCCATTCGCTTCGTTTTGTGATCCTCACTCAACATTTTGGGTACCCAACGGGCACACAGTTTTCGGTACCCTAGCTCGGTGGTCACAATCTTGTACAAGGAAGACCTTGAAATGGCTGGAAATTCGGTAGAAAGTTCATCAATTGTAAACCTCCGTTTCTCCCGGATCGCTTGGTCAACTCGTTCAACCAAACTTGCGACCGACTTGCGTCCTTGACCGCCTTCGTCATGGACGTCTGTTCGACCTTCAGCAAATAGCCTACACCATTTTCTTATCGCGCTATCACTCATACAGTGTTCACCATACACAACACTCATTCTGCGATGGATTTCAGCAGCACTACATCCTTCAGCTTGAAGGAAACGAATCACACTTCGCAACTCACAACTGGCGGGAGAATTGATCGTAGCGGCCATCTTTACTCGCCCGTAGCTCGGCTACGACTGATGGATTGGAGCCGGCAACGGCGTTGGTTGTAGTGGGGGAGCGGCGCAATCGCACAACACGCAGCCCCGCCTCCCACCACTACGCTGGTTATTTGGAGAAACAAACGGAACTTGAAAAAAAAAACAGCCCTCGTAGTTTATTCCTGGTAAAAGGTTTTACATAGCCACATTTAAACCATTATACATATTCATTTTAGGACGATAAATTCTAGTAATTGGGATCAAAATTTATTTAGATTAAAAAATATTTGTGAGTAAGGCCACGTTTATCTAGAACAGTGCACTTGGGTGTAACAAGTTTTGAAACAATTCCAAGTCCATGTCGAGGTATGGAGTGTAGATTTGGAACTTATTGTCATATTGCTGGAACGTGGGGTTGGATTTATGTTTACCCTTGTCTTGGAAATATGTATTCTTACGTCAGATGGTACTACTTATACATGAAAGCAATAACCCGTAGATATAACAATAAACTATAAAATGAACTATTAGAAGTGCAACAATAAGCTTAGGTGAGGTATTTTTCGTTGGTTTCCCATTGTTAAACAGATTAAACATATTGGATATTCAGGTTGATTTATAAAGCTTGAATTTTTTTAAAACTTATGCATCGTAAACGGCGATTAAAAGACAGAATAATTGTTTAAGTCAGTAATATTCCTATCACTAATAGATGTAGCATTTACTACACAGATGGAAAATATTCGTTTTTCACAATCTATATATTAATAGGCAATATATATTGATAGGCAAGCATGTTTCTTTAAAACCTTTTTTCCCAGCTCGTGTGCATCGTAGGAAATACCTACGCATACTGTTGGAAAGAAATTTTCCTGTAGATGTGCAGAATGTTTTTATAAATTAAAATAGGCTCAAAAATAAGTACAGGAAATGAATTTAAAATTTTGAAAAAATTAACTTGGATCTTATGGGTTTCCATGCTGGTGACGAAATAACAACGAAATATAAACATAAAATAAAAACAAATGGAAGAAACTCCAATCAGATGTTTTATTCACAGTGTGGTGTGAAAATAGAGAAGTCTGTACATTGCATAATAATTGGTTGAGTTTCGACCACTGGACGACCTCTAGTTAATATTAATAACTAAATATTTGTATTTAGACTCTAATTGGAGTTTTGTGGTTATTTTCGAAACCTTATACAATGTTAGGGGTTGGATCTTTTGGTAATTTCTGTGTTTCTAATAATTTTATACAAACTTATCACATATTACATTGTTAATTAACAAACGAATACAAGTGTGTTCTGAAAATCCCAAGACTCAATAATAGAAGATAATTCAAATGTATTACAAAAAATATCAAAACACTAAAAATAAAACAAGGAAATAATATACTAACAATAACACATTTCGTGTTTATGTTCACGCATTACGATTACAGTGAATTTATATTTTACAATGGGTTGTTAACGACAATAACTAACAGTTTAACATCCAGGAAGTGTTTTAATATACTCATACAGAAAATGTGATTACCTAAGTAAAAAGAAGCTCAAGATTAAATGCAAAGGTTAGTCAAAGGGTGAGAACTCCCAAGACTAAGCCTTTCTTTTATTAATGTCATGATATCCCCAATGTGGCTCTTAATTCCTAAAGATGAACTTTACTGTTGTTGTATCTCAAGGATCATTTTTAGACCATATAAAATGTATTCCTCAAGTATCAAATATCACTATGATCAAATAACATAGGAAAGGTATATTGTAACAAACTCGTTACTCTGATTAATTAAAATTATCTATCCATCTGCAATAATAACCAATGTTCCTACTTATGCTAGGGTACGCCAAGGAGAAATTGAAAAATACTTTGTATCATAAAATGATCATCTGAATACTTAAGACCAATTATATAAAAATGGACAACAAACAAACGTGAGGGTTTGTTGTTTTCTCATACTTATAAATAGTTTGCAATGCGTTGTCTACCTTGGTCCGAAGCATTAATGATTTTAAAATACAGTGATCTTCCTAACCCGTGAAGAATATTATTTTTGTACTTTTAGCAAAATAAAATAAAAATAAGCCTTATTCTACATTAAGATGAGTGAGAGTGAATTGGTTGTGACGTAGAGCTGAAAGTGTAACGTTACATATATTTGCATTTTAGCTTCACACACGACGTTGTGGCAACAGTGGTTTTGGATTACACGTTTGAATATAATGCAATAAACTTAACTTACAGTTTATTCCAAACTCATGTATAAAAAAATTCACATTTTTCAGGACTTAGAAATAATAGAATAAAGGAAAGCGTTATATTGACGATTGGAGGATGTGTGTGGTGTATATACCATAAAATTTTCATTTTTACATTTTACAATCGAAAAATGTACATCAACCATAAAGTTTTACGATCACGCTAGGCCGGCCAAGCGTGATTGTACATAATTTTTTTTTTTTAATCTTAATGTTTCCGTATGTATTTATGTGTAATGTATTATTGACAATGGCAAGTGCAGGAAGATATGTTTGAAGATTCGACTACTGAAGATTTGATAATGGGATTTTAACCCCTAAACTATAGCCATCACGACAAATATAGGATTAATTGACGACAGGTTAGTAACCTCATTATATGTCAATTAATCAATCCTGGAGTCAAATTATGTATAAAAAATAACTAACCGTATGAGGGATGTCCCAAACATCCAAACAAGATAGTAAAAATCGGAGACCAATGACGTGCTTATTAATTCAATTAATACTTTTCTAACATGTCCCCACCCCTATGGGGTAATTAATATAACTATTGTATACGGAACACGGTTTTTACTTGGTGGGAGAGTCAATTTTCTTTCAACAAGCTTTCGATTACTATGACGAGTCTAATCGTCCCATAAGGGTAGACTATTAGATAAGGGTTAGATTATTAGTAAATTAAGTGAGGAACTCGGTGTTGTTTTAGGATTTAATCGGAATTGAACTAGCTCGCTTGAATGCAACCAAAGATCGAAGAAAACATATTTACGGACAATGCTCGTAAAAACCAATTCATGATTAATGTAAAATAATAGTTCTGTAACTATCATTATTGTTGGTGAAATATCCATTATTAACAGTGAGAAGAATAGAAAGCTAATTACTCTTTCTGAAATGAAATATATATAGGCCTATGATGGAGTATGTGGACTAAAAAAAATATATTTGAAAAATTAACAGGATACCTTTATTATTTGATTTCCGTTTGGGTGATAGTTTTACTTTTAGGTTCAAGAATAACTGTACTAAAAATTAGGATTCCTACTGAAACATATTATTCAATGTAAAATTACTAAATTGACATGCACGCTAGGTTTGTTTGTACCATAATCCCTTATCATTCTAGAAGTTTTTCTTAGATCTCGATGTAATGTATACAAACTATTCAATCTTTAAAAGAGCAGAAACATGTTCAATTAACATCAATGAAACATTTTTACGCTTTGTAATACAAGTATAGGAGTTGTAGGTTTTCACTAGGTTTGCCCTCGAGAGCTTGGTCACGTATACCTCAATATATACCTTAATATAAATATACCTTGTATCCCTTGGGTTTACCTGACCTAGTATTGGTATGTGAATTGTAGCAACAAAAATCTCTAAACAAAATAGGCTGCCAGACTACCAATATACATAATATTATGTTGCATGTGCAGCATGAGTTATATAAAATTAAAAACAGAAAGTAATGTTATCGTCTCAGATGAAAATACATTTATTATTTACAGCTTAAAGCACTACAAAGTGTTTTATCTCTACAATATTTCAAGAAAATTTCTCGGTCACAAATCTCTATTGGCAAAAAAATCCTTATTGTATTATTTTGTTTTTACATAATTTACACTGTATGTTTTTAAACCAGCTTCGATTAAGGTATAAGTTTTGACTAGAAATACAACACGAAATCAATATAACTAATCTTCACTGTGTGTTTACAAGAACTTGGCAACTATTAAAATTTAAAATCACACAGTGTATTAATATTAACTGATTATTGACGAGGTCCTTACTATTCCACCCTAAAGACATATTTGGTCTAGACAGTGGGCTGCAGTTGAGCTGATGATTATTCATGTACATCTGTTCTAGATCTAATAGAGTGATGGTTTTTGTTATAAATAATTGTATCCAATGAGTTTTCGTAGCAATATATCTTGATTTGTAGTTTTATATTTAACTAGATAGAGAAACAGATATGCAAGATCAATACAATTGAAAGTATAATATAATGGTTTAAGGGTACTTGTCTAAAGCTCTGCCACAAAGCCAGTATAGAACTACATGTACTAGATTAACTATGATTACTATGTCTTAGTTTTCAAATATCTTAAGTGTTTTTATGTTCCTATCTTAAGACCTTCTGGGTTATACCAAACTTTGGATCGAAAAGAAATGTTTTTGACCAGCTCTCGACATTTATCTTTTATACGTTTTAGAAAAAGTATGAGAGACATTTTAACTACGCTAACATATTTTGCAGACATTCTATGGTAATATATGCATTTTATTTTAGTGAAAACATTCCTACGAATAAGATTGATACTGAAATATTTTTCTCATGACAATTTAATAAACATGTTCAATTTACAGATAAAAATAAGTCAATGAAAATCAGTCAGTAACTACTATTGGTTGAGAAACATATGCAATGCAATCATCATGTCACGAATCAATGTTGATCTAGTTATTGTCCTTTTCATTAAACGCGGAATCATTTACCAGCATTGTTCAGTTAATTAGCATCATGAATGTTTCTACCGTGGTTATGCAAAATACGGAACAAGAGATGTAACTAGCTATTGGGCTACCTTCATAGCAGTGCTGCGTTTCAGAACTCAATTTGGATTGAATCATATTGTAAGATTAGCACTCTAAACACTATCTTACAAAACTAGCGTTACATTAATGGAATTAGGAGGAAGTTATAAATAAAACAAAAATGATGTTCAATGCGGTTATGACAT